GTGCATTAATTTTTGACAACTATTTATACATGTTTTTAATTAAGATTGTGTTACAACAGCTTCCTAATGATCATTTTCAAATATGAAATGATACAAATGGACCACTTCAGAAATTTGGATAAAATGAACAAACATAAAATTCAAGATATCTGGAGTTGGCAAAACAGTGTCTTAATATTCCAGAATAAGTGGACTCTTAAGGTAATGATTTAAGTTTCAGGACAATGATATGGTAGTGTTTTTGCTGTTAACTGTCAACATGATTATCAACAACTGCTTTGATTATGAAATAGCAATGTTACTGACATAGTCAAAGTAACTTTTATTTGAAACGAAACCATTTCAATGTCATCAATTTTGAGTTGGCAAATCATGGCCAAATCATTTTTGACAATGTTCAAAACATGGTCAACTTTGAGTAATGTTTACAGGGTTACAAGTTATAGGTATGTTTAGTACAAAAGATAAAAATAAATAGGAATTTCAGTGAAAAAATAGGGTATTTTTAGGAATTTTCTTCGAATTTTTCACTTTTTTTATGAATTTAAGGGATGCTAGACAGCCTGCATTAGCTTTGAACCACAGCATCAGCAGACAGTTACAGCAATGCATGACCATCATCTGAATGGTCACCTGAAATAAAGTTGACATACTGATGCACTGCTTTTCATGGTGACCATGCAGATGGCTATGTGGAGCACAGCAGCCTTGAGCATAGTAATGTGATGCTGATGCAGGCATAGACATTCTCTGAGCTGTAAAATACAAAAGGCCAAAAGCAGTACCAAAATTTAAATCTCTTTGAATTCCTCGGCAATATATTTTTTTAAAAATATAGGAAAAATATTCAAAATATAGGAGAATATAGGAAAAATAGGAGGTTTTTCAAAATATAGGATTCCGATCCAAAATATAGGAGTTTTATAGGAATATAGGAATTGGTTGACAGCCTATCAGATAGTTATACATCTAACAATAAAAAAAAACAAGAAAATGTTGTATTGAAATTTTGTTATATTGTAACTGAATATTAATATCTTTTGGCAACCAGCACCTTTGATATTATCCTAAATTACTGTATGGAAACAGATTGCCCACAGACAGACACCACCATATCATTATACTATGTTGCAATACAAATATTTTGACTGACATATAAAAACATTTTGAGTAGCCAACACAAAGAAAGTTTTTAAATAATATCACTGCTTTATTCTATGACAGAAAATATGGATTGTAAAACAATATAAAGTTGCCATAAATGCAAAATTGGGGAAAAATATAAAACAATATATGTCTTTAACGAAGAAAAATGATATTAAAACATAAAATAAAAGATAAACACATATAATTAACAAGATATGTTTGTAAAACATGTATGCCCCCTATCAGCAGCCAATAAGTCATGTGATAAGGTTATTATGCATGACTTCTGACCCAGTGATCAAACAATTAATAAGGGTTATCAAGTATCTACTGGTCATGACCTTAACCTTTGACCCCTTGACCCAAAACTCAATAGGGGTCATCTGCTGGTCACGACCATTCATCATACAAAGTTTGAAGTTCCTAGGCCTAAGTGTTTTTAGTTAATTGATCGGAAACCGTTTTAACATACAAGGTCAATGTGACCTTGACCTTTGACCCCTTGACCCCAAAATCAATAGGTCATCTGCTGGTCATGACCAATCACCATACCATGTTTGAAGTTCCTAGGCCAAAGGGTTCTTTAGTTATTGATTTGAAAGCATTTTTACCTACAAGGTCAATGTGACCTTGCCCTTTGACCCCTTAACCCCAATATCAATAGGGGTCATCTACTGGTCATGACAAATCACCATACCAAGTTTGAAGTTCCTAGGCCTAAGGGTTCTTTAGTTATTGAACGGAAACCGTTTTTACCTAAGAGGTCAATGCAACCTTGACCTTTGACCCCTTGACCCCAAAATCAATAGGGGTCATCTACTGATCATGACCAATCACCATACAAAGTTTGAAGTCCTTAGGCCTAAGGGTTCTTTCGTTATTGATCGGAAACTGTTTTTACCTACAAAGTCAATGTGACCTTGACCTTTGACCCTTAACCCCAAAATCAATAGGGGTCATCTGCTGGTCATGACCAATCACCATACAAAGTTTGAAGTTCCTTGGCCTAAAGGTTCTTTCGTTATTGATCTGAAATTGTTTTTACCTACAAGGTCAATGTGACCTTGACCTTTGACCCCTTAACCCCAAAATCAATAGGCCTCATCTGCTGGTCATGACCAATCACCATACCAAGTTTGAAGTTCCTAGGCCTAAGGGTTCTTTTGTTATTGATCAGAAACCGTTTTTACCCAAGAGGTCAATGTGACCTTGACCTTTGACCCCTTGACCCCAAAAATCAATAGGGATCATCTACTGATCATGACCAATCACCATACCAAGTTTGAAGTTCCTAGGCCTTAAGGTTCTTTAGTTATTGATCGGAAACCGTTTTTGCTTACAAGGTCAATGTGACCTTGACCTTTGACCCCTTGACCCCAAAATCAATAGGGATCATCTACTGATCATGACCAATCACCATACCGAGTTTGAAGTTCCTACGCCTTAAGGTTCTTTAGTTATTGATCGGAAACCGTTTTTTCTTACAACGTCAATGTGACCTTGAACTTTGACCCCTTGACCCCAAACTCAATAGGGGTCATCTACTGATCATGCCCAATCACCATACCAAGTTTGAAGTTCCTAGGCCTTAAGGTTCATTAGTTATTGATCGGAAACCGTTTTTGCTTACAAGGTCAATGTGACCTTGACCTTTGACACCTTGACCCTAAAATCAATAGGGGTCATCTACTGGTCATGACCAATCACCATACCAAGTTTGAAGTTCCTAGGCCGAAGGGTTCTTTAGTTATCACTCGGAAACCATTTGGTCTACGGACCGACAAGTGCAAAGCAATATACCCCCTTTTCTTCGAAATGGGGGCATAATTATGCAAGATAAGCTACAATAACAATTTAAGTCATTAACAAATATATAATTGCACAACCTTTAAAAACAAGAGAGGTTACAATTTAGTAATTAAATTTCGTAGCATTTTTTTCCATTTCTTACCATATTTATTGATTTTTTTAGTATTTCAAAAAAAATAAAATAAGCATATTTATCAATTTTATAGCATTTTTTATTATTATTTTTTTAACACTTCTTTAATCAATTTGTTAACATTTTTTTCATTTGTTAGCATATCTATCTATTTATGAACATACTCATTAATTTGATAGTATATATTTTCCAGAGATAAATCCCTTGCTAATTAATTTACCTAGATAAGATTTTCATATACAATGTGTACCGGTATTTATAGTATTTATATTTAAACTCCAGTAGAAAGAAATTTAGCAAATGCAACCAAAGGTCATGTTTGTAACCACTGCAAAATATTTAATTTAATAAATTTGTCAGTTTTTAACCCTTATTCCACTTGAAAAAAAGGTGATTTACCTTTACCATCGTTATAGAGCTTGGCCTGCCTGCATTAATGTTCAGTCTGATTAACCTTGATACTATTTTTAGCTAATTTCTAGTATTTTTGATATTGAAATCCCTTACTTAAGTTTCAAAAGATTGATCCAAATTTAAAGCACTGCAAATCCATTACAACCATTAAGCAGGTTAATGGTTAAAATATGTTGAAACAAGATTGCATTTGAGAAAAATGCTATGCCACCGCATTAATACCTAAGCTCTAGGCCTTTTGGGTCTTTACAAGAAGGTATTTTAAGTTTTTGAAGCCTTGTACCTTCAGACAATAAGATTTCTTTATTTTTACTATATGTATATATTGAAAATCAATGACCCCCGGGGCGGGGGCAATTTTGACCCCAGGGCTATAATTTGAACAATCTTGCTAGAGGTTCACTACACAATGTTTCATGCAAAATATCTAACCTCTAGCATTTGTCAATTGCTAGAAGAATTTTTTTTAAAGTTTTGACTATAAGATTTTACTATATACATGTACATATAAGGAAAACCAATGACCCCCGGGGCGGGCCGATTTTGACCCCAGGGCTAAAATTTGAACAATCTGGGTAGAGGTCTACCAGACAAAGGCTTATGCAAAATATCTAAGCTCTAGGCCTTTTGGGTCTTTACAAGAAGGTTTTTAAAGTACATATATATATATGTATACATATAGTGAAAATCAATTACACCCTGGGCAGGGCCGATTTTGACCCTAGGGCTATAATTTGAACAATCTTGGTAAGGGTCTACCAGAAAATGTCTTATGCAAAATATCTAAGCTCTAGGCCTTTTGGGTCTTTACAAGAAGGTATTTTTAAGTTTTTACTATATGTACATAAACTGAAAATCAATGACCCCCGGGGCTGGGCTGATTTTGACCCAGGGCTATAATTTGAACAATTTTGGAAGAGGTCTACCAGACAATGCCTTATGCAAAATATCTAAGCTCTAGGCCCTTTGGGTCTTTACAAGAAGGTATTTTAAGTTTTTACTATATGTACATATAGTGAAATTCAATGACCCCTGGGGCGGGGCCGATTTTGACCCCAGGGCTATAATTTGAACAATCTTGGTAGAGGTCTACCAGACAATGCCTAATGCAAAATATCTAAGCTCTAAGCCTTTTGGGTCTTTACAAGAAGATTTTTTAAATTTATTCTTATAATTCCTTTTGGTTGCCATCGCAACCAGATTTCTGCATGGAATGAAATTCTTTGAACAACTTTGGAAGCCCTTCACCCAAGGATCAATCCTGCCAAGTTTGGTTGAAATTGGACTAGTGGTTTTTCACAAGACGATTTTTAAGTTCACTATATAATCTATATAACACACAAACAAACAAACACACACACACACACACAGGTGAATCGCTATATGCCACCGCATCGCAGATGCTGTGGTGGCATAAAAAACAACTTTGTGCACATTTAAAAATATTGTTCAAAAGATTTTGTTCGCAATTGTATCAGTTTACAAATAAAAAATTGCAACCTCTCCAGCATCGTTTCATTTAATGCTATAATCCATTCAGATCTATTTCCATTGGCATGAGAAAATCGTGCATTGCGTACTTCCACGTCCATAATCTTGATATTCTATCAAACTCTTGTCTATTTTTACTGTATAAGGAACCAATAGCTGGTTCCATGCACACATCACAATATGGGTCTGTTAATAAAGACTGGATACTTATTAGAACTTTAGATATAGTTAGAGCCAGGCTCCAGTTATAGTGAATAGAATCTAAGCCCACATCTCCATGACGACTTATGTTAGGATGAAATATCTTTGTTATAAACTGAACCTTTGGGGGTCTCATTGGATAACTGTAATATAAAAAGAAAATAAATGAATTTAAAATAAGTAAAACAGTATGGTAACTGTTACAAAAACAAACTTATACATCTATCTGATACAAAAAGAAACAAGAGGGCCATGATGGCCCTAGATCGCTCACCTGACTTATCAAACTCATCCAAACAATTACCTAGACAAGCATTCTGACCAAGTCTCATGACAGGTGAGTCAAAAATGTGACCACTACAGTGTTAACAAGGATTATCCATATTTGAGCAGTGCGGACCTAGAAATCATCAAAACAAACTTTCAGACCAATTTCCAGGATACTTGGATCAAAACAGTAGCAACTAGAGTGTTAACAAGATTTTTCTATTTTTAGCTCCGGTGACCTAGTTTCACATGGGATTTCGAACTCATCCAAGCAATTACCTAGACAAGCATCCTGACAAAGTTTGATGATAATTGAGTCAAAAATGTGACCACTAGAATGTTAACAAGGTTTTTCCATATTTTGGCAGTGTGACCTAGTTTTTCATCCAAGATGACCCATGTTCGATCTTGACTTAGAAATCATCAAAACAAACTTTGAGATCAATTAACAGAATATTTGGATCACAACATTAGCCACAAGAGTGTTAACAAGATTTTTCTATTTTTAGCTCCTGTAACCTAGTTTTTTATCCGAGATGCCCCATGTTCAATTTATTCCCAGCAATGACCTAGACAAGTTTTCTGTCCAAGTTTGATGACAATTGAGTCAAAATTGTGACCACTAGAGTGCTAACAAGGTTTTTCCATTTTTAGCTTCTGTGACCTTGTTTTTCATCCAAGATGACCCATGTTCGAACTCATTTGAGCTATCACCTAGACAAGCATCTTGATCAAGTTTGATGATGATTGATGCAAAAATGTGACTGTTAGAGTGTTAACAAGGTTTTTCCATTTTTAGCTTCTGTGACCTTGTTTTTCATCCAAGATGACCAATGTTCGAACTCATTTGAGCTATCACCTAGACAAGCATCTTGATCAAGTTTGATTATGATTGATGCAAAAATGTGACTGTTAGAGTGTTAACAAGGTTTTTCTATTTTAAGCTCCGGTGACCTACTTTTCATCCGAGATGACCCATGTTCTAACTCATCCGAGCTATCAACTAGATAAGCATCCTGACCAAGTTTGATGATGATTGATGCAAAAATGTGACCGCTAGAGTGTTAACAAGGTTTTTCTATTTTTAACTCCAGTGACCTACTTTTTCATCCGAGATGACCCATGTTCGAACTCATCCGAGCTATCACCTAGAAAAGCATCTTGACCAAGTTTGATGATGATTGATGCAAAAATGTGACCGCTGGAGTGTTAACAAGGTTTTTCTATTTTTAGCTCCGGTGACCTACTTTTTCATCCGAGATGACCCATGTTCGAACTCATCCGAGCTATCAACTAGATAAGCATCCTGACCAAGTTTGATGATGATTGATGCAAAAATGTGACCGCTAGAGCGTTTACAAGGTTTTTCTATTTTTAGCTCCGGTGACCTTTTTCATCCGAAATGACCCATGTTCGATCTCATCCGAGCTATCACCTAGATAAGCATCCTGACCAAGTTTGATGATGATTGAGGCAAAAATGTGACCGCTAGAGAGTTAACAACTAAATGTGAACGGACGACGGACAATCATTGATCCTAAAAGCTCACCCTGAGCATGCTCAGGTGAGCTAAAAAATCACCACCTCCAACATTCCCCTCTCCCCCCGCCAACACTGGAATAAAAACATATATATGTCATGTATGAACACATTATCTATGTAATTAGGTTACAATATATATTACAAATATATCAACCTTTTCAAATAAACAAAAATATCTTCAAAGGCTCATTAAGCCCCCAAAAAATTCATTAGATATAGCTTTATACCCTTCAAGTTATTACAAACAAGAGCTGTCGATAGGACAGCAGGCTTGATTATTCTAAGCGATTGATAGTCATAGAGCCTTGATAATGTAAAATTTTTCTAAGTTAATAAAAGGGCGACATTTTTCTTTAAATCAATGTTACAGTTATAGGCCTTCAACTTCTTTCAAAGCCATATGTCAATGGAATATGAAAATATCTGAAGTGGTATGCAACTTTAATGTTAATTTTAAGTCGAAAAAAGGGCATTTTTGTCAAAATGCTTGATAGTTACCTCCACTTGTCTTCAGATGGAAATATTTGAGGTGTTTGAAAAACTTTTACGTATTCTAAGTCAAAAAATTTACATAATTCTGTCAAAATGCTTAAAAGAGTTATCTACTCCTTTGTAAACATTGGGGGCGTGATGGTGAACAAGTGTGCAAAGTTTCAAAGCCATATATCAATGGACTTTGAAAATAATTGAGGTGTTACAAAAACTGTAACGTAAATTCTAAGTCGTAAAAGGGGCATAATTCTGTCAAAATGCTTGATAGAGTTACCTCCTCCTGTCTACAAGTTGAGTCATGAGGGTGAACAAGTGTGCAAAGTTTCAAAACCATATGTCAATGGACTTTTAAAATATTTTAGGTGTTACAAAAACTTTAACATAAGTGGTTACACCAACGCTCAGGTGACCAGGATTGCTCTACTTATTCTTATCAAATATTCGAGCTAAAAACCCATTATTTTATCTTTTATAAATTTCAATAACAAACTTGGACAAAGGTCATAAACAATAATAACAACATCAGATAACTTTAAAAGAAAAATTAATTAAATCATCCCTCAAACCTTTATAATGCTTTGTCAGAATTTATTTATACTATAATAAGAGCTGTCAGGAGTACTGTGTGCTCAACTATTCTCAATGCTTGATAGTAAAACTAGAACCCTGATATTGAAAATTAAGTTCAAAAAGGCTCATAATTCTATCAAAATGCATGTTAGAGTTATGGACCTTTAACAGTGATCTCCCATTAGACTCTCAAATAAGTGTGTGAAAGTTTCAACCCATTCTCTACACTGGTTTTGGAGATGCCAATTTGCATGCAAAAACTTATCGAAGTGATGTTGATGCTGTAATAAGATCACTAGCTCTCCCTATTAATCGAGCTAAAAATAATTGATCAGATGTATCACAAACCTGTCTGGAATTTGTAAATACAACAGGAACAAGCCACCCTCATACGGACTCCCTTGTGGTCCTGTGATAGAAGCCTGCCAGTGGCAACAGTGCCGGTCAAGAGGTTCAGCTCGTATACCTTCTGGAGGATCAGACTTGAGGGTTTTAAGTTCACTCCTTAGTCGCCTATGTCTCCATGAATTCTCTTCTATAGGTGGTGTACTCTGAAAACATACTACTATTTGACTTTCTGTCTTGATAATCTTGCCCCTTTTCTCCCTAAAATAATCTTATTTTAATCTTGACCCTACAGAGTCCGTACTGACTGCCACAGAATCTACCCATTTGAACAGTGCAGACCAGGATTGACCAGAACATCTGATCATGGTCTGCACTATTCACTATTCAGTCAGTAGTTACATGCATTTTGATTCATGGTCTGCATGTCAGTTCTTATTTTGATTTTATATATAGGCCTTTTCCCAACTAACAGAACTGTTGTATTTCTAATTCTATCTTGAAAATTTGCATATAATTTGATTCTTTTCACCCAATTATTTTAACATGAATGACATATATTACTTTTCATGAAGAAATCCCATTTTTGCAAGTCAATGTGTATTTTCATCTGAAAAAAGCTGAATGTTTTAAAATATATGGTGATTCTTTTTGGTCCAACCTTCTTACAGTCAAGGTTCAAATTGAAAACATGGTGACAGACTGTAAACTAAAGACCAAAAATTATGTCAATCACAGGTGGATCAAAAAATATAATGCATAAAGTAACAAGAATTCATAAAAGGATTAAAATGTAGCAGGACAATTGATCTATAAAGAAGAGAAAATATTTTACCTGTAACATCATGCTTTCCAGACAGTGTCTACAAGGTGAGCTTTCCAACCTATAAAAGAGTAAAACAACATTATATCAATGTTGCAGCACAATGATACATGACCGTAACCTAAAACAACATATCAATGTCACAGTGCCATAAAACATGTACTTTACCTAAATGTTCTAGTGTTCAAAATATATCTAATATGCTAAAGATCAGACAAATCAAGACTCTTAATAAGACATGCAACAAAATATTGTAGATAATCCATAAAATATAAAATCACAAAAAGAACAAGGCTTATGCATACATCCTATTTAAAGACAATTTTCTCATCTTTTTCTTTCACTTACAATTTTGTATAAATGGTTTTCCATTTCTTTACTTTATAATGTGGATTAAAAAGTGGCCATCTAAGTTTTGTAAATTCCCGCCATTTTGAATCATTTGTCTCCCCTTGTAAGAGCTGCTGCCACCTAGGACAAACCATTCCTGCTGTCCATAATGAAATGTCGTCCAGATACTTGAACACTACCAATAAAACTGTAAAAAAAACAATACCATGATAGTTCAATCTTCCGAAAATTTAAAGTTTCTTATAATAGTGCACGTTTGTAAATTCTGTACGCAGTATTTCTAATAAAAAGTATCAGTGAAATGACAGCATGAAAATGTTATATATATAACTTAAATGTGTGTAATTTAAGAAAATACATAATAGTTATATTACATGAAAAACAACCAATATCAGGGTATATAATTATTTTGATATCATTCTTATTTGTAACTACACAATTGCTATCATTGATTGTCTCAGGAGAAATTTCTTGAATTCTATATATTTGGCTTTTTAAAAACAAAGTCATTTATGATTAATCATTATGGCCATATTTCAATGTGTTAAAATGAGAGTCATTGATAATCCATCAACAATTGATTTCAATGGTCAATGATACTTTGATATTATTTCTATAAATGACAGGTCTAGATAACATGGCTGCTACCTTCAGGTGGTAAAGAGTCCACCAGTCCCTCGGGCACATGATCTCTTTCCCGCGGTAACGTCAGCATACCAATCCTTTCAGCTAACTTGTCCATCTTGTGTGACACTTGCGAGGCTCGCACAGGCGTTGAACTGGTTGGGAGGGGATTGTGATCACAGAAATCTTGCGCCATTTCTGGCTCCTCATTACCACTGTCTCCGGAATCCGCTTTCTAATAGTTAATTAACATAAATCATTACACAATAGCAATACATACATGTATAAGTTTCAATTGCTTACCCACAAATAATCAGTTACATGATACATTGTACTTTTACTTTTATTTTATAGAAGTCTAATTACTATTTATTCCTGTTTGAAATAATTTAAATTTACACAGTAATTATCAATCATGAAAAGCATATCAATCATTATAAAATTTCTGATCACATAAATTTACAAAACCACTGCTTTACTTTAGTATGACTGATTTAGATGTAACAGTAAATGAGTACCAGTTTTATAGTAAATACAGATTTTCTCTATAGTAGAAAGTAGAAATACATTTTGATCAAGACTACATGTATGACACCTTACAGGGCACTAATCACCTAAGAGGGGAATGGGGCCAAGAAATAGGTATGAGAATTCTATGTATTTTTGGGGATCATGGCCTAAATTGGCCCCAATATTTATGAAATGATTCATTCTCGTCCAAACACATATCAATACCAGAGCTTCCAATGGTATATCAATAACTCAGTTTACATTTTTGTCGAACCATAAAAATACGGATTTTTATTACTTCAGTTTTCATTTTACTTAAAACATGAATCAATTAACAGACCAAACCTCAGTTAACATTTTCCTCAATACATAAATCAATACCTAAATCAACATTTTCCTCAATACATAAATCAATACCTAAATCAACATTTTCCTCAATACATAAATCAATACCTAAATCAACATTTTCCTCAATACATAAATCAATACCTAAATCAACATTTCCCTCAATACATAAATCAATACCTAAATCAACATTTTCCTCAATACATAAATCAATACCTAAATCAACATTTTCCTCAATACATAAATCAATACCTAAATCAACATTTTCCTCAATACATAAATCAATACCTAAATCAACATTTTCCTCAATACATAAATCAATACCTCAGTGTAGATATCCTCTTCACCTTCATCTCTGTTGATGTCCGATGAGAACAAAAACAAGTGACATGTGCTACACACAGGCTGCCCAAAACTTTTACCATAAAAACCCTGGCAAAACATACATGCACTGTACTGTAAATAGAAGTGGAAAAAAGTGATTTAATTTAATAATGCAATTTTTTTAATAAAATTTTATGTACATTTTTTATTTAGACAGCTTGAAAGCAAGCTTTACATTTATGCGAGTACCTGCTACATAGTGATGGTTTTGAAAACTTTTACGAGAAGTACTGCATAATTATGGGAAATAGGCCAATCACAACTTTTCAGCATACAAGATAAGGATAAAAGCTGAGGATTTCTGATTGAAAACAGATGTGTAGACTAGTCTCTTGCACACTATTATAGGAACCATAAAAGGACAGGTAACTAGAATAAACAGAAGCATTAGTAGTGCATAAAATACCAAATGGCAGTTTTAAAATGGAATATAAAAATGAATGATTATTTTCACCAACTTCCCTGTGCATACGTGGAAGTCAAAGGCTGAGACTGCAAAGTGGGCCCTGGCTTTGGCTTGCCAGCTATAGACTACACATGTATATTTAAAAGGAAATTATAAAATTAAAAACAATTAAAGAATATAAATATCAATGAAATTTTCATTGTCAGTTCTAGTTGGACAATGTAACTCAATGATAATAGGCTAGGTATTCCAGGGATTATTTTTGGCTTATTTTATGGCCGATATTTGGTAATATTCCCAACTGAAAATGGTGTATTATTTTCCCAATCCACAGGAAAAAATTCCCAATTGAAAGTTACACAAGAGCTATCAGTTATCCAGGTGTCGCCTCATGATGGCCAATTTCATGTTGGGAGACAAAGTTTGTGACAGACGGACAGTGCACAACAAGACTTGGTACTGATCATTCCTGTAAAGTTTGGATAAAATTGCACCAGTAGTTTATGAGGAGTAGTCCGGACAAGCTTTTGCGTATCTGGCAACACAAAGAAAAAACACCTTTTTATCAAAGGGCCATAACTCGGCCAAAAATCATTCAACTGGAAAACACGTGCAATATACACAAGGACTTGAGCTACAGATCAATCCTGTAAAGTTTCATTGAAACTGCTTTAGTGGTATAAGAGAAGTAGTCCGGACAAACTTTAAAAATAAAAATTATAAAAATTATTAAAGGGCCATAACTCTGACAAAAATCATTGAACCGGAAAATGCTGATAATATGCACAACTACCCTTGGTACTGATCATTCCTGTAAAGTTTAGATAAAATTGCACCAGTAGTTTATGAGGAGTAGTCCGGACAAGCTTTTGTGTATCTGGCAACACACAGAAAAATACACCTTTTTTTATCAAAAGGCCATAACTCGGCCAAAAAATCATTCAACCGGAAAACCCTTGCAATATGCGCAAGGACTTGAGCTACAGATCAATCCTGTAAAGTTTCATTGAAATTGCTTTAGTGGTATAAGAGAAGTAGTCTGGACAAACTTTAAAATTAAAAATTATTAAAGGGCCATAACTCTGCCAAAAATCATTGAACCGGAAAATGCTGACAATATGAACAACTAGACTTGGTACTGATCATTCCTGTAAACTTTGGATGAAATTGCACCAGTAGTTTATGAGGAGTAGTTCAGACAAGATTTGTGACGGACAGACGGATAGACAGACGACGGAGAGGTGATCCCTTTATTTACGTAGAGGCGACACAAAAATAAAAAGATTGAATAACAAATTCTAAAATATTTAAAGTAAGGGCTTCTTCACTGTTATGGTGCTCAAATGTTTGAAGATGCCATCAGAGTGTTGTTTGAGCCTTGCAATGACTCTTTGACCCTTCTAATTTCCAAAAAGCCTTATTTGACCCTAAAAATTTTAACAGGAGGATCAAATTTTGTTAAAATCATTGGGATTTGTCCTTGTAGAAAGAAATAATTAGTCAAATTGACCCTCGAGATTTCATGGCTAGTGAACACCTTGTGCCATCTTAAACTCGATTTTTTTTACCTTAAGATAGTTTAAAATAATCGTACATTTTTACGGGAAGTCAAAGACCGGGCCCAAGAAGCAGGTCCGGGCTTTGGCTTGCCCCGCTATAGACTACACGTGAATATTTAAAAGAAAATCAAATAAAAAACAATTAAAAAATATATAGAATTCTATACCTATCAGTGATTTTTCTCACTTAATTGGGAAGAGGCCCAAGCCTCTTGATTTTGGGAAAAATTATCGCTAAAATTGCTGATTTGGGAAGTTAAAAAGCTGGTTTAAGTTCAGATTTTTGGGAAAACTGCATGATTTTAAAGAAAATTTCAATTGGGAAGAGGCCTTTTTTTCGGAGTCTGTTATATAAGTAGGAAAATCACTGCCTATCAATGAAATTTTTAGTGTCAATTCTTGTGGGGCGGCGCCATTTACAATGTATGTCAATGATAATACGGGGTACTCAAAAACCGGGCCCGCAAAGCGGGCCCGGGCTTTGGCTTGCCTGGCTATAGACTACACGTGAATATTTAAAAGAAAATCAAATAAAAAACAATTAAAAAATATATAGAATTCTATACCTATCAATGAAATTTTCAGTGTCAGTTCTAGTCGGGCATCGCATTTACAATGTATGTCAATGATAATAGGTGGAGTATTCCAAATAATGGAACAAATCTCAACTTTTCTGATTAGTAATAATCGTCGAGTGTTCCAAGTGAAAACGGAAGCGGTGTATGTAATATCGAACGACACCTTTAAAACGGAAAGAATGAAAGGATTTTTTAACAACTTCCCCGTTCATAGGCTTTGCCTAATTTCATATTAGGCGGTGTATTCCGATAACGGAACAAATCTATACTTTTCTGATTAGTCATAATTGTAGAGTGTTCCGAGTGAAAACGGAAGCGGTGTATGTAATATCGAATGACACCTTTAAAATGGAAAGAATGAAAGGATTTTTTTAACGACTTCCCCGTTCATAGGTTTTGCCTAATTTCATATTATTTTACATTTAAAATTGTCATTCGGTATTTTATACGCTGCTTCCGTTTATTCTGGTTCCCCATTTCTATAATGGTTCCTATATAAGTGCGCATGACACCAGTCTACACTTCCGTTTTCAATCAGAGTACAACGACCTTTATCGTTATCTTGTTATTCAAAAAGTTGTGAAGTGTCCAATTCAGTACTTGGGACGAAAGTTTTCAAAACCATCACTTAGCAGGTACTCGTGTTACCGTAAAGCTCGCTTTGCGAGCAGGCCCTTCGGGCCAGCTCGTCGAGCTTGCTATCAAAAACTTATCTATCTATCTATCTCTGGATACTGCCAACCCCTCTTACGAGTGTTAAAGGCAGGAATTTAGTGCACGTCGGATTGTTAGTAAAAGGTGAAGAGAAAAGCTAAAAAGAAAAGTCCAAACATTGACATGCTTGGAAGGTGAGACTGAAAATGTATTCTAGTCATGGTTAAAATGTTAATAGTGAAGCAAGATGATAAGAGATAAAATAGTTTAAAAACACTGGGAGTAAGACTAGTACTGCAAACCCACCACTGCCTGTTTGAACTGACTCAGGTTGGGCAGGGTGGCAATGTTACTAGGAAGTTTATTCCATAGTATAATGCTATGAGGGAAGAAAGAGTACTTATGGTAGTCGGAGGATACTGTATTTGACGTAGGGATAAGGGATGCATATGTCTGGTTAATCTATGTGGGGTTTGAACATAAGTTGGGAGATTAATTGCAACTAGGTTGTGGTATATCTTATAAAACATTATCAGTCTACAGTCCAGTCTGCGATGTTCAAGGGATCGCCAGCCCAGTTCTTCCTGCATGGCTGTGACACTAGAGTGAGGGGAGTAACCCCTTTTAACCCATCTTATTGCACGTCTCTGGATCATCTCAACTTTGTCAATATTGGTTTTAGTATAAGGAGACCAAATAGATGAGGCATATTCAACCTGTGGGCGGACCAGGGACTTGTATGCTAGTTCTTTTACTTTCTCATTTTTAGTGATGACATTTCTTTTAATAAAGCCAAGGGATCTGTTTGCATTGGAAGTTATTCGAGATATATGTGTATTAAATTTAAGGTCAGCAGATAGATCTAGTCCGAGATATTTAGCATTTGTAACAGACTCTAGGATTTGGCCATGGAGCATATATTTGTGTTTAATTATGGTCTTATTTTTGGTGATATGGATGACTTGGCATTTTGAAGGGTTAAACTCCATGTCCCACTGCTTCTCCCACAGAACCATATAATACCTTATTTATGAGACTAATTCAATCTCTTTATGTATCATGCACTAGTTAAGCGATATACAAGGCCTACCCACTATGGCCATAGACTTTATTAAAGTATAACAGATTTGTTTTCAAATAATTTTCAGGTTTTTACTTTCATTGACTTTCTCAAGTTTCTGTGTAGAAAATTATTTTCCAATCAGAAACTCATGTTAAAGGTTGCATCTTCAGAATAAGAACTTTACAAGAATCCAAAATGAATAAATGTTGTGTATGCATACTTCGGATTGCAAAAATTCTTCTAAATTATTGGATAAATTACAAATTTGCATGGAAGTCGCCATTTTTTATTGTGCTTCTGTAATTTTTACTTTAACGTAATAATCACTTAAAATAACTATTTTCCGTTCCGAAAACGAGACGTACCCTGCCGTACCGTAGACAGGAATAAAATCCGTAAAAAATCAAAGGGCTACAAGCTCTGTGGTATTTTCTGATCTTTGCAATCTAAATCGTACTGTATATCTGTATGTATATTCCTGTATAAGTTTATTTTCATGTACTGTAATTCATCTTGCAGTGCACCAGAGTTTGATACATACAGAATTTTGCATGACTAGTTGCGTCAAAAAATCATTTATGTTCATTTTTTTATGACAGCCACACTTTACCCTTGCATATTGTGGCTACTTCCTTAACAAAGACACTTAAAAAAATAGTTGCATCAACTGGGATTTGAACAACGGACCTCTCACACACTAAACAAGCGCATTACTGAAGTTATAAGAACAAAGCCTGAATAAATTAAATAATTCTAAATTCAGAATTTCCATTGCATTTCGGGTTTGTAATCCTAATTAATTTTACATTATTTACATTATCACATTATTTTGTTCGTGATCAACCTGTTGTTTAAAATTGATGTAAGTTATTAAGAGAAAATCTTCTCGCCAAAACAGTCTGACATAAGTATATTCCACTACTCAACAGTCAGATAAATTTAACAAGCGTTTTTACGCAATTTTCTAATGATTGCTCAGTTCCATCTTAAAACAGCTGTGTGTCATCTGTATACTGACTTAACTTATATTCTTTATCGTAAATCGATATGCCAGTAATGTTATTATTTTTCCTAATCATTGAACCTAAAACTTCCGCAAGTAAGATAAAGATATAAGGTGAAATTGGATCTCCCTGTCTACAACCACGTTTAACTTTAAAGAAATCTGATAAATGACCATATATGATACAGGTTTCTGACCCATTTCGGAATAAATTTATCCATTTTTTGAAAGAGGGACCAATATTAAAATACTCTTAAGTTTTCTGAATAAAGTTCCAAGAAACTGAACCAAAAGCTTGCTGAAAATCTATAGATAGTAAAAGACCTGGTATATTGTTTTGTTTTGTTTCAAAAAGAATATCATATATCAATCTGATATTTTCACTTATACACCTTCCCGAGATAAAACCTTTTTGATCTTGGCAAATAATGTTGTTTAAAACTCTTTTCAGTCTGTTTGCTATAGCAGCAGAAGCCATTTTACAAATTACATTTAAAAGTGTTATTGGGCGTCAATTCTTCATAAAAAATCTACTTTTATTCGGTTTAGGCAGACACGTTATAACTCCTTGTTTCTGAGTGACAGATAAACAACATTAAAGTAGCCAAAGTTAAGAGCTTTTAAAACAAAAATTGAGAGATCCTTCCAGAAAAATTAAAAAAATTCAACTGTATATTCGTCTAAACCTGGACTTTTACCATTTTTCATGTTGCTTAAAGCAATATTTAACTCATCAATTGTCAATTCGCCCTCTAACATTTGAGAATCAAGTTCAGTTAATTTATTTTCATTTTCCCCAATAATGTCTTTTGTATAGGAGTTTCATATATATTTGAATTTTCTGTATATAATTTTTCACAATAATCTTTTTGAAAATTGAGTATATCTTTCGTATTTCTTATTTCTTCATTGTTTTCCGTAATCAGTTTTGTTATTAATTTATTTGCAAAATTTCTGTTTTCAAGATTTAAAAATAACTACTAAGTTTTTCTCCTAAATTTTAATGACAGCATTTCGATCTTAACATCACTCTTTCTAACTTTGATTTTCGTAACGCTTCTAACTGAGATTTCTTTTCATTAAGTGCCACCCAAGCTTCCTCACTCGAAGAATTCTTGCCAAAACAGTCTGACATAAGTATATTCCATTACTCAACAGTCAGATATATTTGTGTAATACGCAGCAATCGACACCGCTAAAAATAGCTTTTTTACTACTTGTTATTAGGTTTGTCGTTAACTGCTGTGTCAGAGATTGAATGTCAATGTATTTTTCTATACCAAATTCTATGTACAGAAACCCTACTTAAGACCACCTCAGAATTAAGACCTTTGCCTAATAAGACAAAAAATTTTAAAAAATGGTTGCATGGCCCAAAATTAAGACCACCCTGCTATTTCATTGCTGTAGGGTCTTTCCAATCTAATTGATTGCTCTTAGGTGTAGATGTTGTAGAAAATAATTCAAGGTAAAAATTGCATGCAGATGATTTACATATCATACTTGTAGCTTTGAATTCTCAAACGTAACTTAATTGCAAAAAAATTATCAATGAGGATAAATTCGATACCTCATGCATCAGAATTGTGTCAGTTAAGATTTCCCTTTAAGCCAGGAACTGCCATGACTGGTTGATTGATTTTCTTTAGACCAGGCAGTCATGGATAACCTACGAAAGTGCAAGTACTTATTTCCAGTAGGGTCCTTACCTCAGAAGACTCTAGAGACAGCTATGAGATACAAAAGAATCCAGGAACCAGTCCCTAGCTTTATTGAATAGACTCCTTGGTTCTTTTACATGTCAAGTGTATAGTACTGATACATGCGAGGATTACCTGGGTTTCGTACCAGTAAACCTCTTTTTAGGTGGGAAACACTGAAAGTGTCTCTAAAAAATCCCAAGTGTGTTACCCAGGATCAAATCAGGGACCTCAGGAGTGACAGTCAGTGGTCTAACCAACTGAGCTATTGCGCCACCCATAAAGTTTAGTGTAACCAATCAATGCACAATGTACTAATAATTAAATGACAAGTCTCTTTTGAAATCTTAGATTCTCTGCTACAAGAAACTTGCATTTTATCTTTTTCTCGCAATGAAGACCAAGGACATGTATTTGTACAAACTAAGATATGTCCACAAAAAGACCATCTCACAAGGAGCTGACTTTATAGTCATGCAAGGATTCTAATGGTTCCTTTAAGGAATCACTAAAAGTGGGGCAGTAGCGTTGCGGTTATGGTGTCTGCCTCCCAACCTAGAGATTGTGGGTTTGAACCAAACTCTGGTCAAGACCAATCTCCTCATACATGTGTATGACACCAATAATTGTTAGTTCCAAGAATAAATCAAAGGTGATTAATATGAAGTTGCACAAACTTGTCTCTCAAAGGATCTAAGGACCCATTTAATATAAAATTACAACAGTGCAATTTGTCAAAATATTTTCAATAAAACAAACTCTTTTTCCTAAGGAACAAAGCCAAAGGACACCAAGGTCATCACATTGGCAGAACAATAACTTGTTACCACAATTTTATTTTATGTATTTATATAATTATGCTTATAAAACAATTTGCAACCATCGAAAAATATGTACTGAAAATATTTGTGCACATTATATGTAATCATTAAAATATATACATTCATTTCTTATTGAAAAATTGACTTAAGATTTTATAATATAAATTCTTTATTACCTCCCTTTATTTACATAAAATGTTGAATTTGGTTACATCTTTATAATGCTTTTTGGAACATACAATATTGATAAATCTTAATTTGAGCATCATATTTATTATATAAAGCCATAAAAAAATTGTGTTATAGGACCTTTAATTACTGAACAATCTTGCAATAGGCTTGTGCAATGATGAAACAAACCAAGCTCAGGGCTTGCAGCCTTTTTGACAAGTGACAATAGAATATACATCAACAAAAACCTTCGATTCTTGTGAATTAATACACAACAGAAGAGTATTTCAGTAAAACAGTACTTTATTTAAAGACCATCATTTAGGACAAAATAGATAGTTTATACACAGAATTCATAAAAACAAATAACAATTCCTTAAAACATATTGTATTTCTGCTTACTAAGATCTTAATTTTAGTCATGTTTCATTTTCACCATTATTAAAAAACAATATTTTGTTATTTAGGTCGAATATTATGCTAGGCATAGAGTTGGAATACTTAACTTTACTCAAGTCCAGCAGCAATCTGTCAAATAATAAAGGCCAGTCTTAAAAATATCTTTGTTTCCACTCGTCTCACAACCCATGTCAGTTTGAGTAGGGTAGGTAAATAGGTTAGTACAATTTTTTTTTACCTTAAGTGATTTTTATTAGACATATTATTTATAATTGTATAATGATATGAAGTATCAAGCATCAATTTCAAGTTTATTTTAGTTTTATTCAATATCTTTCGCTCTATGTATATTTACAATGCAAATTTTAAGATGGAATTGGCGTTGACAGACTGCTTTTATGAATTAAAATAAAATAAAAAATAAAATAAAAATCCTTATTTGGCTCTAAATGTTTTGGGTAGCAGAGATAGCAGGTTTGGAATCAAAATTTTATTTTAGGCTTATTCTTAATGATATTTCAAATACTGAGGTAAGTTTTTTTTTTTTTTTTTGGTTAAATACATTGCTATGTTGCACCAAAACAGTAAAGGTCATATGGCGACTTACACAAAATGGCACCTGAGCAGAACCACTGACATTCTGTGAGGTAACTAGATAGCTGTCTCACATAAAAGAATCCAAAGTCCCTTTCTGTATTCCAATCCAAAGCGGTGAGGGGCAAGTGGATTGAAGACAACATCCTTTACCACTTGGCCACGGTAGACATAATAATTATTCATTTAAGTAAAATGAAAAAAATACAAGTAAAAAATTGCTGGGAAATGCAGCAATGTGATTGTCACGGCGAAAAAAAAGAAAAAATACAAAAAAAAAAACAGTTATAAGTATAATGTTAAGGTAATCTCCAAATAGCATTGAGTTTAATTGACAGGTTAACTTGTTAAGAAGGTGTTTAAGTATTGTAATGTAACTTGTTACAAGAGCAGAATAATTTATCATTCTTGTGTACTGCATACCTCTTGAGTGAGATCTATCCACAAATGACGTTTCATGTTGATATCTCAAAGGCTTTTGTAGTTATGCTCTGGACGAAATTAAGTATGAAAAGTAACATTAAGGGCAATACCTGAAAAATAATGCACGGTAGGTGTGTGCCGCACTCCTCCTCAATGAGATTTATCCACCTATG